TCGGTAGTTCAGTAGTCATTTCATATGGGACTGGATAACATGTTTGTCTCCTAATCAATCTAAATGTATTTGCACAATATTTCAATTTTGAATCAGCTGGCAGGATCAGAACATCTATCACACAGGGGCTGAGGGAAAAGACAGGATGGAACATGATGGATCTCAGCCTAGGAAAAGTCATTCTCTTGGTCCATTCCACTTTAATTTTACAGCTGTTATGCTTGGTTCTGTACCTGTGCCTTCTTGGTAACCCGCATGGCATTTTTCACGGACAGATGCAAACATACTTTCTACAAGTGGCGAAGTCATGAAAACATGCTGCTGAATTGAGCGATAATTGGGCTTGTTTGGTTGCTATCATTCCCTATTCTTTCAAATGAAAATAGATGGGGAACGTGACACTTTTGATAATCATATAAAGACTTAATATAGGCTCTAGAGGATATGGGCTTCCTGGTTCAAAGCATTTCATATGCACTGAGCATTAGGAATAACTAAAAGCAATATACACACACGTGTATGCACACACATGCACACACACACATATTTGTATGTATATAAACATATAATATTTTTCTTTCTCCTTTAAACTCTGCATAGCATGGGTGCTGGGAGCAAGGGCACTTGGACTTAGCTGAGGCCAAATATTGTCTTTGGTGTTTGAAGTCACAATTCAGACTTTCTCTGAGGGCATAAAAGACATTCGATAATAGTCGTGGAATGCTGAACCCTATACAATTTCAGACCAGGAGGAGGGAAAGGTGAGGTTGTAGGTGAGAAGGGGCAGGAAGACCAGCCTAATAGAACCCTGAGCCAAAGGGGCTAAGCCAGGAAGCAGCAGCCAGCTCTGCCTTTGCTGCCCACGACCATCCCCAGTGGGATTCCAGAACACTTAGGAGAAATTGCTTGCGGTAGTTTGCAGCTCATAGAAGACAGTGAGACTAACATTTGACCTTTTGGTGATTACCTGAGCAGGGTGACAGTCATACCGGGATTTGCCCAGTGCTAATTGCTGCTGCTTTGTCTTCTCGTCAGCATCCCCAAAGGGATTTCGTCTTACTGCATTCCGGAAAGTCCTCTCTCCATCTCGGTATTTTCCTTTTAACAGTTATTATCCTCCCTCCCCTTTAAAAGAGGCCGGCAATTCTGTGTTCACTGAAGTCTTTAATAAAAGCATTCCTGTACTCGGAGGCACCATCTTAACCTTTTCAGAAAATCTGGACCACGTCAGGTAAATGATGATATTCATCTCTAAAGATAAAATGCTTGCCAACATTAAAGGTCACACCTTATTAATCTATAGGATTAAAGGCTTTACTCGTCCAGTCATTTAACTGTAGCTAGTCCTGCTTTAGCAAAACAAAAGCATTTCAGTTGTAATGAAACAATGTTGCTAGGCAGTTTGTAGCTCATTTAAAACTGGTAACAGTTTACAAAGAGTCCTGCACATCCTTGAGGACTCCGTGGGTTACCACTTAGCCTCTTTCTGCAGGGAGGGGCTCAAGTGTCTTTTCTTCCCCAAACCCTCTCTAGCCCGGGCATTGCCAATATTATAATGAAGTTTGATTCTAGGATCTGTCTGGGCTAGCTCTGGGGTCCCAAGGTCCAAAGGACGTTTTATTTCTTTTAACCTCAGAACAGGTTTCCAGCCCTGGTTCCAGCTGCCTTCTGCACTCACCACTCCGATCTCACAGTTTCTAGTCGTGAAGAGGCACCTAGAAGAAAACTTGTTGGTGCTGCTTCATTGTTGTTCTGAACTGAGTAAGCAGAGCTGTTTACAAGTTGTGATGTGTCCTTCTGCCTTAAAAATTTTTTTTTCTTTATTGCTTTTTAGAGAGGTAAAGGAGAAAAAGAGATAGAAACACTGATGAGAGAGAACATCGAATGCCTGCTTCCTGCATGCCCCCCACTGGGGATCGGGCCCACAACCTGGGCATGTGCCCTGAGCGGGAATTGAACCGGCGACCTCCTGGTGCATGGGTCGATGCTCAACCACTGGGCCACACCAGCTGGGCTGTCCTTCTGCCTTTATAAGGACTGCAGAGTGTAGGCTTTGCTCTGTTCTCTCTGCAGACACCTTCTCACTCACCTGTCCTGGCCCAGCAGCAGCCAAGGATTGTCCTTCCCGAGAATGATAAGATGCTGAGAGTCTATCTCTAGGGGAAACAGGTACCTAGGGAATACGTGAATGGCTACAGCCTTCCTGGGGAGGGCACCGTAGATCAGGCACATGCTCTCATATAGTCATTGCTTTTTTGGTTAAGTTTTTATTGAAATAGAAATGTTCATGTTTCCGTAAGGGCACAGCTTGAAGAATTTTCAAAATCAAAATACAGCCATATATTCCAATTTAACACGATCAAGAAATCCATCCACAAAGTTACTCTGGAGGCAAGTGAACATAAGTCAAACCCCTTGGCCTAGCCCATGGAGCCTTTCATGACCGATTTCATGACCTATTAGGTCTGTGAGCACCTGCTCTGTGCCAGGCATTGTGATAGGAGATGGGCATTCAACAAAGACCCTGTTCCAACCTTACAATAGTCAGGGGCCTGCCTGCTTCTCCGCCCTTATCTTTGCACACATGGAGCCTGTCATGCCAGGTCCGGTGCTGACTCACTCTTCAGTGTCCCACACATGCACATTTTCAGGCTTCTATGAGAATGACCTACTTTTCTCAGTTTATCCTTGACCACTCTGTTTAGAGATGCCCTCAATCAAGAAGCTCCCTGTGACCACCCTAAGCCTGGAGGAGGGGCTCCTCTGGGTTCAGTTCCATCCGAACGGTTATGACATCCTACCGCAAGCTTTGTCCCTAACACACTTCCCCAAATAACTCATCTCGCTGAGCACGAAGCCCACGTGTTATTCATCTCTGAGCCTCCAGGAGCAAGCACAGTGCCCAGCTCTCTGTGGGTGCAGGTCCACGTGCTCCTTCATCATGTCAGCTTCCTCCTCAAGGACCTGTGGGGCCCGGCTGGTGTGGCTCAGTGGTTGAGCATTGACCCAGGCACCAAGAGGTCACTGGTTTAATTCCTGGTCAGGGCACATGCCCAGGTTGTGGGCCAAATCCCCAGTGGGGGGCAGGCAGGAAGCAGCCAATCTGTATTCTCTCTCATTGATGTTTCTATCTCTCTCTCCCTCTCTCTCTCTTTTTTTTAAATTTTATTTTTGTTATAGATGTTTCTCCTTTTTTACCCCATTGACACCCTCCTCCCCATCCCCCACCCTGTCCCCAGCTTTGTTGTCCATGTCCATTGGTTATGCATACATGCATATACATCAAATGACTTGTCTGAATTTTGAGATGCTTTGAAGGTATGACTTTTCCACCTATATCCAAACCCATTGTCTACATATTCAGTGGATACGCCTTTTCTCTTCCTGCCTCTTCCCTCCCATGCCTACTCCCTTCCAGTTGTGCTTCCTCTGCTCTGTGCTCCTGGCATCTCCACGTCCCCGTGCTGCCACTTATCCAAACCCTACCCGTCTCTCAAGGCCAACTCAAAGGCTGATGTTATGTTGACGCTGTCTCCACCTATTGCATGTCGCACTGATGACACTTCCCAGACATGCTCCCTGACTGGGTTTGTGTGTGAGAGCCCAGCCTGCAGAGACTCTTAGTTCACCCACTGCTGAGCCGAATGAAGGCTACATATAAAGAGCCCTATGCGTATTCATTTAGACGATAGGACTCAAACTAAATTTCCAGCTTTGAACACACCTGGCTCTTCAGGGACCATAGGGAGAGCAGAACCTCGTGTGTGCTTGATGCAACAGACATCTTGGCTTAACACGCCCCCAGAACAACTCTGCCCCCCCATCTCAGTCAATGGCAAATCCTGTTAGCTTTGTGTCCGAAATACACAGAACACCCCCACAATCAGATCTCCCTTTATCTCCTTCCCCGTTACCAGTCCAAGCCACCATCTCGCCTAAAGTATCATGGGCATCTCTCTGCTTCTCCCTACATGTGATCCCAGCGGAGCGATAGAATGATCATGGCACGTTGAACTCTACTCAGAACGTGGCAGCCATGTTCCCTGTCACACAAAGTGGACACCAAGGATGGCATGGGACCCACACCACCCTACGTGACCTGCCTCTCCAGTCCCTTCACGCGTCACCCACTCTCTGCTCTGGTTTTCATTTCTTTCATGTTTCCACTCAAATGTCACCTATTCAGCGAGGCTCTCCAGGGCTGCGGAGTTAAAATTATAGCATCCTGACATCAGTTATCTCTTTTTCCTATTTTCCTGTTTCATACATAAGTAGTATGCTTTTCTCACCCCCCCCCAAAGTTTATTATGTATTTTACTCAATTTTCTTCCTTTCCCCCAAATCCTGCCAGCTGCATGGGGACCGTCATGTTCGTGTGTTCACTGCCATATGCCTGGCCTGTGCAGTGGCGTCCGGCACGTGGACCGTGAGGACTCGCTTTTGAATGAGCAGCGATTGTTTTGTGAGTATGAGGCTCCTAGCAGAGCGCCCCTGACGTCTTTTCACGGTAGCACATCATTGTAGGATGAAAGCTGGGCAAACAATTTGGCTGTCAGGGCCAAGGATGTCATCTGGAACTTTCTTTCAGCCTGCATTAAGTTAAAGACTCCCCCCGCCCCACGCAGATAAGAGCAGGACACCCAGACGACATCAGCATGGCTCCCTAACCCACTGCCTGCCGGAGATGGGACACACTGAGCTCGCTGCTGTGACCTCTGAGGACACCCAGACGACGTCAGCATGGCTCCCTAACCCACTGCCTGCCTGAGATGGGACACAGTGAGCTCGCTGCTGTGACCTCTGAGTCAACAAAGACCTGGGAATTCCAGGACTTGGGGATATTTCTGACTCGCTGTGTGTTTCTACATTAGCTTTTCTGCATCCCGTGTACGTACAGTCTTCCTAAAAACATCGCCAGCCATATCAGAATCAATGTTAAACGTAAAAGTATATTTATAATGGAAAAGTATATACTCAATGGCATTTAAAGATGTACTCACCACTGTCGATGGCCAGGAAGAGGGCAGTGTACACACTGTCGTGGACGAATGGGGATTCGCGGTCCAGCACCGCGGTGGTGTCAACGGTCCCATTGATGGGGTTAATATTCAGCCAGCCTGCCGGGTCCTTGAAAACAGAATACCTGGGGAAAAAAAATCCCTAACAACATTAGATGACATTAAAAATAGATTCAAGAAATTTTCGGAGTGCTGGCACAAGTTCCTATGCTAAGGGCCAGATGATCGAATCTTAATACAAATCCAAAAATATCACTACGGTTACAGTTGTTCATTCAACTTTTACTTTTTTTTTGATATTTTGTTCAGATAGAGTGGGAGGGAGGGAGGGAGGGAGAGAGAGAGAGATAGAGAGAGAGAGAGAGAGAGAGAAACATCGATGTAAAAGGGACACATCGAGTGGTTGCCACCCTCACAACCCAACCAGGGCTGGGGACAAACTGCAACTGAGGTACATGCCCTTAGCGGGAACTGAACCCGGGACTCTCTGGATCGCAGGCCAATGCTCTAACCGCTGAGCCAAACCGGCCAGGGCTCCAGTTGTTCATTCAGAAAGTAATGGCTGACTGCCAGCTGAGGGCCTGCTCTGTGCTAAGTATTTTGCACTCGAGCCTCCTTTATTCTTCATGACAAGCCCTTGAGGATGGAGCTCTTACCTGCCCATTTCTCATGGAGGCAGAGTTCATAGCTCATCTCCCGAGTCCACGTCCAGTTTTGTTTCACTTACACCTTGAATGTACCTCATGCAAAGACTGTGTGGGAGGAGCACTGTCATGAAGGTACAGGGAGGGCACGTGGACAGTGGGAGGAAGGAGTCATTACCAATATGGAGGGTAACCCTAGGGACCTCATACAGGATGCAGCATCTGAACTAAGACAGGAGAATGGGTGGGATGCTGTCAGGGAATGAGAAGGCCAGTCCGGAAGAGACAATGATACAGATTGACACATGGGACAGAGGTATTAACCAGAATGTCAGTGCCACGAGAGCAGAGTTATCTGTTCACTGTTATGACTTTAGCTCCTACAGCATTGCTTCGCACATATATGACACTCAATATATAGTTACTGAATGAATGAATAGGTAGATGGTTGTGGTTGGAACATACTTTCTAGGGGAAACTAAAAGTAGATGAGTTTGGAGAGACTGGTTATTAAGAACCTGAACCACTGTTGTAAGGGGTTTGGATTCTGGATAATGGGAAACCATCAGAGATTTAAAAATTTTTGAGGTTGTTGTCAAACTAATACATGCTATCCAAAACTCAACTAGGAAGAGTCAGAAAACTTGACCAGACCTATAACAACTAAAGAAATTGAAGCAGTAATCAGTAAACTCCCAGCAAACAAAGCCCTGGTCCAGATGGCTTCACAGGGGAGTTTTATCAAATAGTCAAAGAGAAACTAACACTTAGTCTCTTCAAACTATTCCAAAAACTTCAAGAGGAAGGAAAACTTCCAAGCTCTTTTTATGAGGCCAGCATAATTCTAATTCCAAAACCAGATAAAGACACTACAAAGAAAGAAAACTACAGGCCAATATCCCTGATAAGCATAGCCACAAAAATCCTCAAAAAAATATTAGCAAATTGGATCCAGCATTATATATAAAAAAGTATTCACCATGACCTAGTGGGATTTATACCAGGGATACAAGGCTGGTACAATATTTGCTAATCAATACATGTGATACACCACATAAACAAAATGAAAGATAAAAATCATATGATCATATCAAAAACATTTGACAAAAACCAGCATCTATTCTTGATAAAAACTCCCAATAAAGTGGGAATAGAAGGACCATGCCTCAACATAATAAAGGCCATATATGACAAACTTACAGCCAACATCATACTAACTGGGCAAAAACTAAAAGAATTTCCCTTAAGACAGAGATGCCCACTTTTACCACTCTTATTCAACATAGTACTGGAAGTCTTAGCCACAGCGATCAGGCAAGAAGAAAAAATACAAGGCATCCAAATTGGAAAGGAGGAAGTGAAACTGTCATTATTCACAGATGACATGACATTGTACATAGAAAACGAAAGACTCCACCAAAAAACTACCAGATTTAATAAATGAATTTGGCAAAGTAGAAGGATACAAAATTAACATCTAGAAATTGATGGCATTCTTATACACCAATAATGAACACTCAGAAAGAGAAACTAAAAAATAAACAAATAAAAAATCCCATTTACCATTGCAATAACAAAAAAATTAAGATACCTAGGAATAAATTTAACCAAGGAGTAAAAGACTTGTTCTCAGAAAACTACAGGACAATGGAAATAAATAAATAAAGGAAGATATAAAAAAGTGGGAGCATATGCCATGTTCATGGATTGGAAGACTCAACATCATTAAATGTCCATACTACCCAAAGCAATCTATAGATTCAATGCAATTCCTAGTAAATACCAACTACAGGCTGTCGATTTCTTAATTCTCACAGAATGTCTATCGTTTTAAACCTATTATATATTTAAAAAAGAAATCTTAAGTAGAATTTTTATTTTTATTTTTAAAAAATGTAGTATTTGACCCTGGCTGGGTGACTCGGTTGGAGCGTCATCCTGTACACTGAAAGGTTGTGGGTTTGATTCCCGGTCAAGGTGCGTACAGGAGTCAACCGATCAATGTTTCTCCTTCACATGTGTTTCTCTCTCTCACTTGCTTCTTCTCTCTCTAAAATCAATAAACACATTCTTGGGTGAAGATTTAAAAGAAAATGTAGTACTTGACTTTTTTATTTTTGGCCAAGGAAAAAAATAAATAGTATTCCTGTGCTAAAACAAACAAAACAACGACAAAATTAAAAAAACCCACAAAACTATTCCTGAATACAAAACCAAACCAGGGGGACAGCTTTACTGAGGCCAATGGCCAGTCCATGGCAGTGTCAGGATTTGAACCCTGTCTAGTGGCAGGGCCTGGCTCTGAAACTACACTGGCTCTGCCCAAACACACGTGTTGTCAGCATCACACGGGAGCTCAAAGCAGGGACTCTGGAGTGAAGAAGACCTAGATTCTAACTGTGTGATCTTGGACCAGTGACTTCTCTGTCCCTGCTCTGTGAGGTGGGATACGCCTAGGGACCTCAAGGGGGCAGTCGTGGGGGTGAACTGAGCCTGGTAGGAAGTGCGTGTTCAGGGCGGAGTCGGACCACCCATATGTGTGAGGGGTCAGGCGCACGTTCCCCCTTTTGATGAGATCTCAGCAGAGCCCTGGGAAAACAACACTCCGAAGCTGAAACACGGAATAGATGGAGAGAATGAATGAGGCTAACATAGGTTTTCCCACACCCTCTTGCTGCCTCGATGACCATTTCTGTATTTCTTAAAAACAGAAGAAGTGTATTATTCTTGAGAATGAACTGCGCTAAAAAACACTCATCTTTCCATCTTGACAGCAATTTACACGTCTACTCACAAACCCCTTCTATTTTCTAGGACCCAGCTGAAACGTCTCCTCTTGGTCAAGTGTATGAGTTCCCCAGCGAGAACCAGTCCTTCTCTCTAGGTCCGTGCTCAGTACATGCATAGATTAGAATGCCTGTTAGAGTGTAGTATGGGCCCTCGTGAGCCTGCCGCCTTCACCAAACTCTGAGCTTGATGTCGGGAAGAGGTTAGAGTTAGATAAACTACCACACGCCCATTGTGCCTGGCTCAACAATCCAGCATCGCATTTATTTTTGTGGTTCACAACAATCAAACACAGTTAGTATCATCCCTGTTTTAAAGATACGACAATCTAGATTCAGAGAGGCTTAGCAACTTGCCCAAAGCAGCACAGCCAAGAGGTGGTAAAGCTGGAATTCAGTGCTGGTGAGCCAGCTTCTGGGGTACAGTGTGTTACTTATGCCCAGGAGCAGGTGTTGGCTATTCTGCATTTCCAGGGCCAAGTAGAACGCCTGGTACATGGTGGTTGCCCAATAATTTATTACATTCTGTCTCTTTCAGTTGCAACAATCATGGAAACAGAAAATGCAAAGAAAGGTAACATTTGTTTCCCATCTTATTAGGCAACAAGTTCACCCTTGATCTAGGAGTGATTTGTGCTGGTTAAGCATATTTGAAATCATGAAAAATTGAAATGGACCACAATTGAGTCCCTGATTACTCAACTTAGAGTTTAGAATAGAAATAAAATGGACATCATAGAGCTTTTCAAGTTGGCAAAGAAACAATGCTCTTTGTTTCTCCCTGTCATGTTTTCCATCTTATGATGCTGTGGTTTCGCAGTACAATGAACATCTTTGCTTCTTCTCTTGTATGAGAAGTTGTAACATGCAGTTAAAAGCTTACAGACATTACCTTGGAAGCTGTTCCCTAATGGCGTTGCCCAGTGTGGTTAGGCTTGTACGTGTCACATTCCCAGTGAATGCAAGGGCTTGAGGGGTTCACAGGGTAGCATTTCACTATTTTCTTCCTTGACACATAATCAGGCATCTATTGCTATGCAATTTAACTGCATTTTTCACTGGGACTTTCAATTTTGTTTCCTCTGTATTTTATTTTATTTTATTATTTTATTTGGGGCTGCCCATCACAGGCCTTGGAAGGCATGCCTGGGTCCTAGATCTTGACGTCAGCTTGCTGCTTCTATTCAGAATCATAGCCACAGACAGAGATGGGGACACTCCATTTACTGAGCACTCCCAAGTGTCCAGTGCTGGGTTGCGCTGGGCCCGTGCAATGCAAACGAAGACCTGGGTGAAGACCCTGGATGTAGGTGACATCCTCCCCAGCCTCGGAGCTTTATCCCCAAAGGGGAGGGCAGCTCGTGACCACCAGCCAGCTCTTCCTCTTCCTGGCCGCTGGGCCTTCCTGTCGGATCAGCCCTTCTGACCACCGGTCTGGCACCCTGTGTCAATTTCGGACATTTTTCAAAGCTGTCTTTTTAATAAACCTTTTGGTGTAAAAATACCAGCGTGCGAGATGTTTTCTGTGCTTCTGGGCCAGAAAAATGCATGTGCCTTATTAAATTGGAATTTCCGGGCAATTTATCTGTCATGTGAACCTTGCTTCTTACAGGGGAAGAAAAACCAAATTAAAAGAGGACTCGTTTCGGTCTTTAATGCAGCTACACGGAGCTGCTTACTGCTTGCCAAAGCTCT